ACTTTTTATTGCCTAACAGGAGTGGGTGACAATAGTTGAATAAACTTATGGCTCTCAAAATGGTATCAGTGTCCTATTTGTTGGTACTCGCCGATACCGATACCACCATCTTAGGGCAGTATCGGGGCCCCGTCCGATACTGGTATCGGTATCGGTGCAACACTAGTGAAAATGTAATGAGTAGAAGTGAGAAGTAGGAAGAAAAATAACTAATGGAGTAAAGTATGGATACCTAAAAAGTGTACTTAATTATAGTAACGAAGTATTTGTACTTTGTTATTTGACAACTCTGGGCACAACATTACTGCACAAGGAGAGTCAGAGTATTACTTTCTGCAATAGTGGAATAGTTGTTGCTCATTTATGTTGGAAATGCTATTAATGTTGTCTAAAATTGCTTTATGTATCTTTTTATTCAATTCACTCTATAATACTTAATCTTATTTTTTTTTAAATCTTAATAAACAGAACTTTTGTCATCAATTTATCAGATTGATTGAATACAACACTGGATTAATATTTATTAAAGTACTCTGGCTAGGTTGGTTTTAATAGTTTTTGGTTGTGCTCAGTTTTCTTGTTTATTTCAGGATAAATATAAAAATATATAGTTATATTAAATTCCTAAGATACTGTTAAAGATAAACAAATAAATCTGAAGGTTAGATTTTTCTTAACTGTTTATTCTGGAGCATTGTACGCATTTGAAAGTGCTGTGAATACATATTACACATAGATAAATTGTCAAGGATTTAAATGACAACAAAATGTATTTTGTTTTAATTTATAGTTTTCATTTAAATAATTTAATTTGATAAATTTTACCCAACTTTTAGGTAACGGATTTTATAGTTTGTCTCTTATTATTTTTTTATTATTTTGAAACGGGCTAAGCTGTTTCACATTTCACTGGTGCTCACATTTCCGCTTCCGGTCGGGTTGTGCAACTATTTTTAGACTGGCGCGCGCTCTTCAAAAACATAGATGAGAAACGCGCGAGGATAGAGCAGCAGCAAGACCTGAGACATCTATTTGTTTTCATCATTCATTGTTCAAGGTAAACCAGAAGAAATGTATATGTGTGTAATGACGACCAACCTGCGTTTTCCCTGGATGTTTGTTAACTTTATTCTCGATTTTAAATTGCGCGTTTAACGATCACATTTTAAAATTGTAAATACGACTCATCACATAAGTTAAAACTACCATGTTTTAAGTAGTTTTTAAAGATGAAATTGTGTTTTACTTTTGATAATGCGCGGACAAAGTGGTTTATTCAGCTGTGCAAGAGTCTGGGTTGTAGCTGACACACTTGTTTGTTTCATAAGATGATCATCCCGCCAAATGCGCGTTTGCTTTAACAGTTTACTTCTAAATATTGTGGGGGACTTTAGTATTTCCTACCAGGTAAAAGTGAAAAACGACTTATCTTTAAGACATAACTAAAGTGTCTTTACGTATTATACTGAAGTAGAAGATTAAATCAGACCTGTACTGCTATAAGCTAATTTACCGTAAAACACGGAAGGAGCAATTTTCTTTCGCGAGCCTTCTTGAAATTCATACTGGAAGGTTTATTAACGAACCTCTGCCTATTTATTTATGATACTTTTCACTTTCAAACACGTATAGCTTAATTTTTAAAGATTATTCGACCTGTTTGACAGAAGAAAAAAGACAGTTAAAAGACTTATTATTTTGTATGTGTAAAAGTAGACATAAACCAATTAATTTATAAAAACACCTTTAATTTTAGGCACTATGCTTTCAATTCGCCATTCTCAATTTATCAAATGCCTCAGCATTAACTGATATCTCTTTTAAAGGTTTTAAACAATGCATCTAGTCACAAAAATCAGAAAGGTTGTGGAAATATGCTTTGCATAAATTAAAAATGTACTGTCCTGGAACATTTTTTATTTATCCTAAAAACCAAATATCCTGTGCTATTACACCTAGGTATACTTTGAACATGATACCAACCTCAACCAGAAAGCGAAAACTGTCCTCACTGGACTCTGAAAGGTAAGCTGTAAAAATGAATGAAGATTAAACGAATAAAAGATTTATGCAAATGTACTCCCTAAAAGTAAGCTCTGATTTCACATAATGGTTTGAGTAAAAATGTAATGCGTACACCTGGAATCTGGCTTCTAGTCTGACATTTTTCTCATTAGTCACCCTGCCAAGAAGGGCATGAAGGAGCAAGCCTCGCCAGTAAAGAGAAGATCCCCCCGAAAGCGCTTGCTCTCTCCACATGTGGAGAAGCAAGCAGGACAGGAGTCGCCACATAAGCCAGCAGGTAAGACAGGCCAGTTTAGTGTGACCTACCATTCCTTTTGGCTCCGGCAATAAAAATCTAAAGGTTTTCTGGTTACTGTGAGAAAATCTACTTATTTTTTCAGGCTCTCCACGTAGATCACCACGTAAATCCCCTTCGATGGTTACAAGCTCCTTCTATGGCAAGCAGAAGACCATTTATCTCAATCCACTTGAGAGAAAGGCAGTAAAAGAATCTCTGCCTTCCCTCCCCCCTGTTATTACCTCCCCCCCACCATCAGCCCAAAAAACAGAAAAGAAAATGAAGAAAACTGTAAAAAGAGGCAACAAATCCAGAAATGCAATAACAGGATCCGGTAAGAGAGGAAAGAAGAGTACCAAAGGTTCTCCAGCATCTAAAAAGGCAGTTGAACCATCCAAAAGGAATACCAGGTTTGTTTCTGATGCTTTATTTTAAATATATTTAGATGAACTCTTCTAGTATTAAACATTGGCTTTCAATTTATTTAGCAGCCTTGCAGTTAAACCAACATCCACCAGCAGCAGCAATGTACCAGCAAACAACAACCCAGTAGAGGCAAAGAAGGGAATCACGCTCTCTTTCGCCAGCCTGAAGCCCAAGCCCAAGATCTTTGTTGGAGCCGCTTTCTTTGGTACAGGAAAGAAGCCAACATCCATGTATAAGAGACCTGCTCCGAAGTCCTCAGCCAGGCCAGCTCCAGTTAAGTCCAGGAGCCAAACTGGACCCCCACAGCAGAATGCTAAGACACCAAAGCAGCAGGTGGATCCAAGGGTTGCATCACAGCTGCAGGAGCCAGGAAAGGTTTGTGTGTTATTAGCTAAAAAAAATCCATTTAGTGTCTCACAATGGAGAAATTGTGGTGTTAAAGCACCAATAGATTATAGGAAAAGTGGTTGCACAAATGTGGACCTTTAAAAAAAAAAAAAATAGTGTCTAAATAATTGAAAGATGTTTTGCAGTTTTTCCATCTTTAATTCTCATCTAGGATTCCTTATAATCTTAGAAAGTTTTCCTCGTCATTGATGTAAAACAGAAGTTACAAGTACCTTGTTTAAAACTGAATCAATAAAAGTGATGTCTATGTTAATTTGTAACCAATCTTAGTGTTTGTCTGGAGAGATTGTCATAAAGAATCAATGAACCTTATGATTTAAATCATTTTTTTCATTCAGTTTGCAATATTAAATGTTTTAACGTGATTTTTTCTTTGTTGTGATTGCTGTACAGCAAATGGATGTGAAGGAGATCCAAGACGGTACAAAGCAGAGGACGAAGTTTGATCCAACTGACTGGATGGATGTTAATGATGGGGAGTCAGAAACCGTCAAACCATCGAGGTAAAACTGGTTTAAAAGACGAGAGAGGGCTCCCCTTCACAAGATAAATTTTCCATTCTTAAAAATCCTTTTTTTTTTTAAATTTCAGACATGTATGTGTTTCTAACTTTTGTAGGTCAAAATGTTTTAGATTATATTTTTCCATGTTTTTCCTTTTAATTGAAATGGGATACAAATGAAATTATGCTTACCGGTAGTTTGTGTAACAAATGCTTCATTAGTTTATATCTGGCATTCTTTATCTTTTGATTTGACAACTTTAAAATTCTGTAGAAACAACAGTAAACAAAATTTAGAGTAAAGCTAAACAATTTTGCAAAAAAAATAAAAATTGGATTATCTTAAACTAATAGTACAATTTCAATTTTCTTAAGCACAAGCATATAGATTTTCCAATCCAGAATTTTTGTTTTTTCATGACCTTAAAATTAGGCATGTCCCGATTCCATTACTGTTACCTTTGAGTAAAAAAAGCTAAATTCTGCTTGCATGCATTGATCAGTGAGCTAGCTGAAAATGAACCGTTCAGCTTTAGTCTTTAGACGTTTATTCTGCCATATAATAAAAAATCTATCTGCAGTCCATATGTAATACTGTATGGAACCTGCAGTAAATTTAAGAGTGAAAAAAAAAACTGTTGTTGCTTTTTCCAAATAATTTTTTCTGAAGCTTACACAAGGCAGTGCACATCTGCTGTGTCTAAAATGTGACACTTGATATGTTAGATAAAGAAGGCATCATGTTAACTACAAAGGCAGTTGGAGTAAAGATATGTAGGGATGTGCTTTGAGTAGATTGGAACCTTATTTAATTAAAAAGTAACATTGAACATATTTAAGACTGAAGAAATGCCGAACTCCACATATTCCTATGGTATTAAGTTTTTCCATTAAAACTTGTCAGCTGTCAATCTTTGTCTCCCTCAGCTCCCCTGAATTAATGGCTGAAACACATGGGGTTACAAAACAAGTGAAGATTGTTCTTTCCAGGACGCCAAGTCCTAAATCTACAGCTTTGTTCTTCGACAACCAGGTAGGGATGACACATTTGTTAAAGGAGAAGTTCGGTTTTTTACACTTTAAGCCCATTTTCTGTAGTGTCCAGGATGAAATCGAATGATCGACACCAAAAGTTTGACAATT